TGACCGCCCCGCCCCCTATCCACACCCCCACCCTCTGACCACCCCCCAAACTCCCCTGCCCTCTATCCAACCCCCCCCTGCTCCCTGCCCCCTTACCGCGCTGCCTGGAGCACCGGTGGCTGGCAGCACTACAGCCGTGCCGCCCGGCTGGAGCTGGGCCACGCCGCCACCGCCACCACGCAGCACAGAGACTGGGTCAGGCCGGGCTCTGCAGCTGCGCTGCCCCAGGAGCTCACAGCCCCGCTGCCCAGGGCATTGCACTGGCGGCGGAGTGAGCTGAGGCTGCGGGGGAAGGGCCAGGGTAGCCTCCCAGGGCAGGAGCTCGGGGGCCAGGCAGGACGATCCCGCGGGCCGGATGTGGCCCACGGGCTGTAGTTTGCCCACCTCTGGTCTAAGGGCAGCTTCAGCCTCTCTCCAGGCTAAATATCTTCTTTGGCTATGCCTCGATGCGAGGATGATGTCTGCCAAGTGGGGTCATTGGTGAGTTTTTAAGTGGCTGAGGAGCCCAGTTCTTGCCCTGCAGATTTCCCCACAGAAGTGGCAGGTGTGATCTTGGAGGAGACGTAGCTGTTGGCTGGAGCGTTGTGCCCTTTCTTTCCTCCTTTGTCACTTCTCTGTCTCATGAGCACGTCTGTTCTCCTCCAAGTGAGCTGTGGCTTGGTGTGTGGTGTGGCGCCGCCATGTGCTGTTCCACGCCGAGTCCTCCCAGTTTGTTGAGTTGATGCCTCCCGTTTTAAGGCTAAATATAGACTCCCTGCCTCATCCTAGCACCATGGTCCTAGGGCTCTGAAAGCATCTGGCTCATCCCTGTGTGAGGCCGATGCTGCACCTTGGGGAGTTCCCAGCACAACAGTCTGCTAGAAGGCAGTCCTGCTGGAGAGATTCGGGCACTGCTTTCTATGGGCTACCTTTTGCCCTCGTTCACCCCAATGGCTCTCCATTGGCTTTGCCATAATGAGCATATACCATGGTAAATAAAAGCAGAATCCAGGCCTCTGGGCTCGCTCAGTTCTGAGTTTCCGCCACAGCGCTCTAGCGGCACCCCCAAAAAGAGGAACAGGCTCTCCTCCCGGGACTGCAGACCCCCGTCCTTTCTGCCCTGAGCCGTTCCTAATGACAAGCTCCGACGGCAGGCATAGTGCTCAGCGCGGGCCCATGCACTCCTTCCCTGCTTTGCCCGCAGCTCCGCTCCTGGGGAAGGGGACGTTCTCACAGGGTGGTAAAGTGGGCACAAGGTGGAACATGTCTGAGCCACGCTGGATTCCATCGAGAAAATGGCTTCCTCTTTGCCTCCCCCACAGAATTCCCCCTGGCTCCCCAGAGGTCCCTGGGCTCCCCAGGATCTCTTTAAGATCATGTCCCTGCCCGACTCCAGAGTGCTGGTCAGAGCCTGGGACATTTTGCCATTGAACTCAGCTGAGATTGTGATCCCTGTTCGTTTGTATTTGCAGTAAACTCTAGTGGCCAGAGCCCTGTAACGCTAGGCACTGCACAGCCATCTTTGCCCCAGAGAGCTTACAGGCTGAGTAGAAGACAAGAGACACCAGGTGGATGCAGACAGATGGGGAGAACAAGGAAGCCCATGAGACAATGATGGGAGGCAGTGGTCCCAGCATGCCACCTGCCTAGGGTTTGGCTCTCCCAAACATTGATTCACCCCCTGCTGTTTCACTCCCTCCTCTTTAGTCTCGTCCCTCAATGTTTCCATCCGCGCGGTGCAGACCGTGGTGAAGCAAGGCGAGAACATCACCGTGATGTGCACTGTGAGCGGCAACGAAGTGGTGGATTTCAGCTGGTTTTACCCTCGCCAGGAGGTGAGTGCTGCAGCCCGCGCTCTGTAACCAGCCTGGCAGCTCCTCCCCTGGCCTGGCCTGGTGGTCTCGTCATTGCTGATCTTGCGGGCTGGGGGTCTCCTCTCTCCCCTGCGCAGGCAGGTAAGGCCGTGGAGCCTGTGACGGACTTTTTGCCTGGATCCAGCCATGACATCCGCTCCACCGTGACCATCCAGAATGCAGAGCTGGAGGACACCGGCACCTACATCTGCCACGTCTCTGAGGTCTACCACCAGAATACGGACAAGAAGGACATTGAGGTCAACGTGATCGGTGCGTTGCCACACTCTCGGGGCCAGCTAGCTCTGGGCACCAGCTAGCCCTCCAACCTCTCTCATAGACTCATAGACTTTAAGGTCAGAAGGGACCATTATGATCATCTAGTCTGACCTCCTGCACAATGCAGGCCACAGAATCTCACCCACCCACTCCTGAACAAACCCCTAACCTATGCCTGAGTTATTGAAGTCCTCAAATCGTGGTTTAAAGACCTCAAGGTGCAGAGAATCCTCCAGCAAGTGACCCGTGCCCCACGCTGCAGAGGAAGGCGAAAAACCTCCAGGGCCTCTGCCAATCTGCCCTGGAGGAAAATTCCTTCCCGACCCCAAATATGGCGATCAGTTAAACCCTGAGCATGTGGGCAAGACTCACCAGCCAGCACCCAGGAAAGAATTCTCTGTAGTAACTCAGATCCCCCCCTCTCTAGTGTCCCATCACAGGCCATTGGGCATATTTACCTGCTAATAATGAAAGATCAATTAATTGCCAACATTAGGCTATCCCATCATACCATCCCCTCCATAAACTTATCAAGCTTAGTCTTGAAGCCAGATATGTCTTTTGCCCTCACTGCTCCCCTTGGAAGGCTGTTCCAGAGCTTCACTCCTCTAATGGTTAGAAACCTTCATCTAATTTCAAGTCTAAACTTCCTAATGTCCAGTTTATATCTCTCCCCAAGCCACACATGCCTGGATTCATCCCTCTTCCACATGGCCCTGGCAACCCCGGCTCCCAGAAAGTCACTCACCCCACCCCCTCCCAAAGAGGCCTAGAATCATCCCCACTTACTCCCACATCTAGGAGAACCCCAGCATCTTGCTTATAGCCATGGGCAAGAGACAATGAGCTACTCATCCATGCTGGGCCGAGGAGCCCTGAGGCCCCTTGAGATGAGGCTCTGCTGCAGCCTCCCCCGGATACAGGAGCTGGCTTGGCCAAACACACTCGCCTAGTGTCCCTGTGTGTGTAATTCCTCTCGTTTTTAACTGGATTTTATTGGGTGAAACCTTCCCCTTCAGAATAACAAACTCCTCCCCTGCTGTGAGCTTTGCTAGCTTCCTAGAGGCCTTCGGTCTCCAGAGCACCCCTCACAGACCCTGGAAGGACCATCCTCCAACTAAAGATGGGTCTGAGGCACAAAGATTGGATCCAGATCAAATTGCCCAGAGATTTCAGGGGCATTGGGCCATCTCTACCCTTAACAGAGACAGATGTGTATCCATGTGGCGAGTAGCCAGATCCCCCTCCTAGGGTGAACAGGTGTCCGGTTTTGGACCGGAACTCACGGTCGAAAAGGGATCCTGGCAGCTTCAGGCAGCACAGCTGACCGGGCTGTTGACTATCCGGTTGGTGCCACTGCACAGCGGGGCTGGCAGGCTCCCTGCTAGCCTCCATGCTGTGCGGTTCCCGGGAAGCAGCGTCATGTCCCCCTTCCAGCTCCTACACATGGGGCAGCCAGGGTGCTCTGCACGCTGCCCCCGCCCCAAGCACCGCCCCCGCAGCTCCCATTGGCCAGGAACCACAGCCAATGGGAGCTGCAGGGGTGGCGCCTGCGGACAGGGCAGCATACAGAACTGCCTGGCCGTGCCTCTGCATAGGAGCTGGAGGGAGGACATGCTGCAGCTTCCAGGAGCTGCTCGAGGTAAACACCATCCTGAGCTTGCACCCCTGAGCCTCCTCTGCACCCCAAACCCCTGCCCCAGCCCAGATCCCCCCTCCCGCCCTCCGAACCCCTTGGTCCCAGCCTGGAGCACCCTCCTGCACCCCAAACCCCTCATCCTCAGCCCCACCCCAGAGTCTGCACCCCCAGCCAGAGTCCTCACCTCCCCACCCCACCCCCCTGCCTCAGCCCGGAGCCCCCTCCCATACTCTGTACCCCTCAGCTCCACCCCTCATCCGGAGCCCCCTCCTGTACCCCAAACCCCTCATCCCTGGCCCCACCCCAGAGCCCGCACCCCCAGCCAGAGCCCTCACCCCCTCCTGCACCCCAGCCCCCTGAGCCAGCACAGTGAAAATGAGCGAGTGAGGGTGGGGAGAGCGAGCGACAGAGGGAGGGGGTGGCCTCAGAGAAGGGGTGGGGCATGGGTGGGGCCTCAGAGGATGGGCGGGGTGGGAGCGGGGCAAGAGTGTTTGGTTTTGTGCGAGTAGAAAGTTGGCAGCCCTACCCCCTCCCACTCTTCTCTCTGTCTCCCCCCAGCCTCCCTGCTCCTTCTCCTTTCCTGGGAGCAGGCCCTGGGATGGGGGTGCTGACCCTGCCTCTCTCTGAACCCTCTGCAGAGCGTGGCTTTGTGAGGTTCCACACTGGTCTGAACGACGTCGAGTTTGCCGAGGTGCACAAGAGTCGCATCATCCAGGTGCAGATCGAGGCCTATCCACAGCCAACCATCCTGTGGCTGAAGGACAATGAGACCCTGAGGGTGGGGAACAGCAGCGAATTCGTCATCACCAGCAAGAACCTGTCGGAAAACAGGTGAGACGGCCCCTGTGGGTGGGACACAGCCCTCCCCCCAGAGATGGGTGCGGCTAGAGCCCAGCGATACAACCGCTCCCATCCTGAGTGGAGCAGGGGGACGGGAATTCTCAGTGCCCAGCCAGAACTAGCCATCTACGTGGTGGGGGATCCTCCACATTGATCCTGACTCGACCGTTTGCTGTGCGGTTTCTATGCAAGCCTCAGGGTTCGGCTGGATGGGAGCGACCCACCCCAGTACGCCTGTTGGGCAGCAGGGAGCGTCTTCCCATCTTCACTGCTCTGGGATCCTTTTCCCTCCAGGTACCAAACCACTCTGACCCTAGTGCGAGTGAAGCAGAATGAAGGGGGATTCTACACCGTCCGGGCATCCCATGAGGATGACACGCAGGAGATGTCCTTCTACCTGCAAATTAACGGTGAGGAGGCAGCACCACCAGCCTTTGAGACGCACCAGGTTAGAGGGGGTCCTAGCAGCTCCCTCCACAATTCACAGCGGGACAGAGAGACCCAGCTGCTTTGACAGGACAACAGGCGGAAGCAGACAACACCCTCACTCGAAATTTCTCAGATCGATTCGCCACAGGAAGCAGAACTAGGATCCACATTAGGCAGGGAACGGGATTGGCACCATTGCCTATTGAAACTAAGCAATACTATCGCCATGTGCGTACAACAAACAATCGAAGGCAGGTGAATGCTTCACATTTGGTTCATCAGGTGGCAATATATACTGCCTGTGTGTGTTCCTGCCTAAAAACGGCCAGAAAATGCCAGTTGTTTTTTTGCAGGAAATTTTGTGGGAGGAAAGTTGTGGAGGTTTTTTTGGTTAGGGGTTTCTTTGTTTGTTTTAATTTCCCAGGATTTTTTTTAGTTTTTCTATAAAAAAGCAGAACCCCCAAAGATCTGTAGTTTTAAAAAACCATTTCCAGTCAAATTTTCCAGTTTTCAAAACTCCCGATGTGTTTTACCAAAACATATTTTCATTTTGCTCAAAAAGCCTTTTTTCAAAAAAAGATGGAAACCGGTCGACCCGTCCTAGGCATTCACAGTGCGGCGTGACTCGGGCGCCCGTCGTGAAATGGGGGTGGATCTAGCCAGACACAGCAGAGTGGAGCTGACGCCACTTACGTTGGGTCTAAATTTGCCCCTTAAATCTCAGCCCATCTGAGGTGTCGAAGTGTTCCCTGCCAGTTCCCCACCAGCTAACAGGGCAGTCTGGGAGGGCAACCTACTGCCCGCACCACCCCAGCTCACCCTGTGCCTCCAGCAGTGGAATTCAAGGGAGGGGACACCCTCATCCTCCATTCCAGCAGCTGGGGGCCCTAAAATTGTACAACTATTGCTGAAGGGACCATGGCTGCGTACATGGCCACCAGCCCAGGCCCCTCCTTGGCCCTCTGCAGGGTGGCTACTTACTTCACTCATGTTCTCTAGCATAGATGGGTTCCTGCCCCATGGCAGTCTCTCTCCAAACACACAGTGGGGAGGTTTTCCTCCCGCCAGTGAGATCAGCTGTCACCCACGTTTCATGACCGTCGCTCCCCTCCCGCCGGCAAAGCAAATGGTCCAGAGAAGAGCAACAAGAATGATTAAAGGTCTAGAGAACATGACCTATGAAGGAAGGCTGAAAGAATTGGGTTTGTTTAGTTTGGAAAAGAGAAGACTGAGAGGGGACATGATAGCAGTTTTCAGGTATCTAAAAGGGTGTCATAAGGAGGAGGGAGAAAACTTGTTCACCTTAGCCTCTAAGGATAGAACAAGAAGCAATGGGCTTAAACTGCAGCAAGGGAGGTCTAGGTTGGACATTAGGAAAAAGTTCCTAACTGTCAGGGTGGTTAAACACTGGAATAAACTGCCTAGGGAGGTTGTGGAATCTCCATCTCTGGAGATATTTAAGAGTAGGTTAGATAAATGTCTATCAGGGATGGTCTAGACAGTATTTGGTCCTGCCATGCGGGCAGGGGACTGGACTCGATGACCTCTCGAGGTCCCTTCCAGTCCTAGAATCTATGAATCTATGACTCTCTCTTTTCCCTTCCCAGTGCCCGCCAACGTGTTATGGCTGAAGGAGAACAGCAATGCCAGCAGTGGGGAGCAGACCGTCATGTGCTTCACTGAAGGGATGCCCCAGCCAGAGCTCATGTGGTTCACCTGCAGTGACATCAAAGGGTGAGGGGGCCTGGCGACCCAGTGCAGGCATGGGAAAGTCTGTAAAGCGCCTCTTGCTGGGCGAGGATGGGACTGACAGTTGTGGGTGTCCTCTCACCCAAAGCTCCTGGACCATGCCCTGTAGCACTTCCTGCTGCGAGAAACTGGGAACTGGGCATCTCTGGGCCCGTGCTCACCTCGCTTACTGTGTCTCCTGTTGGGAAAAATTGGGACTGAATTTTACTGAGTAATTGATGCACTTGTGTGTCTAGTTAGTGCTCCATAATCTCAGCCCTGAAGGGGTTTAGATCTCTGCCAGTGGGGTAAAGGAGACAGAGCTCTGGTTCTTCACCTCAGTTATTATTTGTATTACCATAGTGCCTAGCAGCGCCAGCCACAGATGGGAACCCCAGTGCACTAGGGGTACAGACACAGAACAAAATTACTGCCCCTGCCCAAGAGAGCTTCCAGTCTAAGTGAAAGACAAGAGACGACAGGTGAATATGGACAGACAGACGGGAGGCTGTTGGCCAACATGATAGGCAGCAGTCGCAGCACACATGAATCAGGTCCTTTAGGGGCTGACCTTTGGCCTATTGCTGCAGACTGGCGCAGCTTGTCCCCACCAATCCTGACTCTCCCATTTTTGTTTTCTAACATCCTCTGTGAGGCCCGGATATTATTTCTCACGGGACACACAAAAATCAGTGGGTGCTCCCCCTGCTGGCTCTGCCACAGCAGTGCCCTGCTCTAAATCTCCATTCCCGGAGCTGCGCAGATACCAGCAGAGCTGAGTGTTGTGCTGCGGGAAGTGGAGCCCCAGCGGTTGTTCCCTCCAGCCTTCGCCATTAGTTTGTGTCACTTACTGTTTACTAGGAAAAGGGCTGGAACAAGTGCCTTAAAACAGAAGCTGAGATGGGGCTCACTTGAGGCCCCCTGGCTCATCAGTGTTGGTGCAAGAGAATGAATAAAGGGATCTGTGCTGGCAGTTCAAGTACAGACACAGCGACAGGGAAGTCAGCGGGGCAGGGAAGCTCACTGGAGGAAGAGCTGTTATCCTCAAGCATTTGCGGGGCACAGGGAGGGTCATGAAGAGCCGAGATAGAACAGCTATCATACAGCATCCCGCAGCGTCATGCAGCCGAGATTGTCTCCCATGTGTGGCTTTTTCAACTGGAAGGTGCGGCACCAAGGAGCAGCCCACCAGGGTCCTGGGGAACAACTCAGAGGAGATCAACCTGCAGACCAGCTCCATGTACCACGAGACGCTGAAGGTTTACAGAGTGAACAGCACGCTGCGGCTCCGCAGGGTGGACGAAGACCTGCTCATCAGATGCTCTGTGCAGAATCTCCTGGGCAATGATTTTGAGGACATCACCCTGGTCCCACACGGTGAGTTGGCTGGCACCCGCTCTGTCCCACGTGTGCAGGTCTGTGTGCTGTGGGGTGGAAGCTTAGCCCAGGCCGGGGGACTATGCTGCCCCTAGTGTCTGCAGCCTGCTCCTTTAGTTCAAGCAGAAGAGGCCTCTTTATGGAGCAGCAAAGCTGGAGCCCTTGGTGGCCAACAGTTTGTGCCACCTGCCTGAGGCAATTTCAGTGCCTGGTATGTGCATGCTTTGCCTATCTGGATAAAATATCCCTGTTCCTCCCCTCCCTCTCCCGGCGCAGGGCTCCTGCCTCCTGCTTTGGAGTCTGTGTCCGAAGGGTAAAATGTACACATCCCTTTCTTTGCACGATCCAGTTGTAATGTCCTCTGTCCTGACACGGAGCAGTAGCATGAGTGTAGAAACCAGGAGGGGGTGGATGTGCCAGAGCCAGACCACATGGAGTCAGTGCGAAGGGAGAGCAGGTGTTTGCACAAACAGCTACCAAGCGGGCATCACCCTTAGTGTATTTCACCAGCATTCATGTTAGCAACTTGTTATCCAGGCTGCAGGCACTAGGGGGAGCCACATACACACATTTATAGGCTGTGAGAGGGCTGAGGCTAGGCCACTGAAAAAGAACCTATGTTCTGGGCTAAAGGGTCAGCCGGGCCAGCTCCCACCAAGAGCGACACCGCTGCCTCCTGCTACCCATGGCTCCGTACACACCCATGAGGTCAAATCTCTTCCAAAAGCCTCTGGGCCCTGGGGAGCTCTCCTGCAGCAAAGGGGCTGGAGCGTCACCACTAATTCCTTCCCACTGCACCCTGCTGGAGAGGCCCCCCCTTCCCCGTGTGTTTGTGCCTCTTTCCAGGGCCCCTCGGGGGGCTAGTTCTAGCGGCAGGGAATAATCGTCCAGGGTTACCCTGAGTCCAGCAGAGAAGGGAGAGGGTCTTCTCTGGGCATCCCAGGTGAGCCCTCGGCAGGGTCATCCCTGGCTGGTCTGGATCAGTGAACACTTCTCATGGGAGTCAGGGCTGGGTAAAGCCAGCCAGGGGACACCACAGAGGCCTGGCTAAGGGTCACTTCCTGTCAGTTTCCAAGGGATGGCACGAAAGGACCAAGACGTGCCCCAGGCCCAGCACTGGCTGCCGGGGGTTGAAGTCGTCCGGGGAGGTTTGGAGAGGAAGGGGGGAGCAGGACTTATGGGACAAGACAGGGCGGGGTCTCAGAGTGGGGCATTTCAGATGAGGCGCTCTTGGCTAGTTTCTCCGAGTGGCTGCCCTGAGCTCCCCAGGCCATGTGGGGCTGGAGGCGTCTGATTGTTTTCCATGTGGCTCTTGTTGTAGGCTGGCCCTTGAAGGTGATCATCATCTCAATCATCCTGGCCTTGGTGGGGGTGCTTGCCGTCATCTTCCTGGTGATCCTCATCGTCCTGTGGCTGAAGGTCAGGGCGAGCACCGTCTCCCACTTTGGGAGGTGGGGAGGTCTCCTCCCTTTGACTGCATGCACTGAGAGGGCACGGCCGGGCTGTGATGGGCAGCTGCAGAACAGCCCCCTCGTCTAGCTCCTTGGTGCAGGACTGGAGCCCACCAGGCATAGGCACCAACTCCGTGGGTGCCCCAAGGCTGGCACCCATGGAAAAAAATTAGTGGATGCTTAGCACCCACAGGCAGCCAGCTCCCCCCTCACCCCAGTGCCTCCCATCCGCCGGCGGCCCTGCCGATCAACTCCTCCCCCTCCTTCCCAGTGCCTCCCGCCCGCAGCGATCAGCTGTTCTGCGGCGTGCAGGAGGCGCTGGGGGGGGGGAGCGGGGATGGTTGGGGGAGGGGACAGAACTAGGTGGGAAGAGGCGGGGCAGGGACGGGCGCTTGGGAGAAGTGGTGGGGTGGGGGCAGGGTCTGGGGCGTAACTGGGTGGGAAGATGTGAGGCAGGGGCGGGATGACGGGGGGAGGCTTGGGGGAAGGGGTCAGGTGAAGGCGGGGCCTGGGCAGAGAGCGGGGGTTCAGCACCCCCAGGGCCTGGAGGAAGCCGGCGTCTGTGCCACCGGGCTCAGGCAGCCACCCTGAGCTCTCCGGTGTGACGTGCAGCAGCGGACCTTCCCTCTGGCCATAATGTGTGAGGAGTGCCCGTGCGACAGCAGCGGTGACTGCACAGCTGGGACGGCTCCCTGAGGCAGAGGGTGCAGGGTCACTGTCTGCAGGGGACACCTCCCAGCACAGCCCCTCTCTCAGCTCTCTCTTCTCCCCTCCCTTCCCCCTCTCCAGAAGCCTCGCTATGAAATCCGCTGGAAGGTGATTGAGTCGGTCAGCTCCGATGGGCATGAGTACATCTACGTGGATCCCATGCAGCTCCCCTACGACTGCAGCTGGGAGCTCTCCAGGGACAAGCTAGTGCTAGGTACCGTGTGCTCAGCAGGAATCACCAGGGGATGCTCAGTGAAAGGGATGTAAAAGAACGGGGGGGCACAAATCCATGACCCCAGAGAGGGAGAGCATGCCTCCAATACCAGAGGGTGAGCCTGTGGCCAGGGCCAGCTGTGCAGGAGGCGTGCGACAGATGCGCTTTCATGGGATGTGTGTGTCACCGACCCACCGATGCTCTTAGCGCGGAGAGATGGGGCATGGGAAGCACATCCAGATCGCTCCCAGAGCCTGCGTTCCTTAGCGCGTTTAGGGGAATTCAGTGGGCTACTGCCTGCTTTGGGGTGGGCTAGTGAGGCACATTCAGCAGGGCTGTCAGGTCCGGTGGCCCTGCCTCTAGGCCATGCTTCTCTCTCCGCTCCGCCTGGATGAGGGGCTTTGCTGTGCAGATCAGAGACAGGAATTCAGCTCAGAGGCATCACTGCAGGCCTAGCCTCTCGGGCAGCATCAGGGTGATGTTAGCCATGCTCCCAGCACCAGAGGCAGCCCCAGAGGAGGGGAGCACACTAGCACGTATGGGACCCTCCATGAACCCACATTCAGTATTGAAGAACCGCCTCCATTGTGGGAATAACAATGTGAGCATTCCCCATTGTCCTACAGCCCTTTACCTGAGGATCTCGAAGCCCTTCACAACCGCCTGTGGGGCTGGGAGAGCAGGACCGGGACAGAGAGCGGGGGCATATGGGTGGGATAGAAACATCCAGGACTTTCCTTGGGTTCAGGAACTTTTGGTAGGCCGGGTCCTGACATGCATGGGGGAACAGAGAGTGGGGGATAGGACCCATTAGAAATCTCAGGGCCGATACATCCAGGCCCTGGTCAAAATGATTGCTGAACTGTCAGAAGGAAACCAGGTAGAATAAAGCATCTCTGAGAATGAACCTCTGCGGGAATGGAATTGTCAAACAGTGCTACCCCTGGTGACCACATCTGGAACAGCTACAGTTCTGTTTGGGAAAGACCCTCGGGTTTTTCCTCCTTATTAACACGCTTCCCAGCCAGGCGGAAATCAGCCCTGGCACAGACATCGTAACTCCCAGCTACCGCCATTCCCTGCTGCGATTGCCGTGGGTGTGCGGTGCTGCTGTCTTTCCTTTTCTGAGCAGCTGCCTTGTGGGCCCCTCCCGTCTGGCCCTGTTGCAGCTGAAATCTGCATCTCCCTGGTGTTTTGCTGCAGGGCGCACTCTCGGATCCGGAGCCTTTGGCCGAGTGGTGGAGGCAACGGCCCATGGCCTGAGCCATTCGCAATCCACGATGCGAGTGGCCGTGAAAATGCTCAAATGTGAGTTTCCCACCATCTCTCCCCTTCGTTCACTGCCACTCTACCTCTCTTCCGTCGTTCTCCCCCACTGCATCCTTCCTGCCCGCCAGGAGACATTCCCTCCCTCTGCATAGACACCAACTGGGTCAGTCATTTGTCTCACCCCTCCCAGCCCTGGCCATGGTGGGACCAGGACGGTGCTAGCTACAGGTCTGTTCGCTCACAGGTGATTCTAGCAGGGTTCTGGGGCCCCTGCCTGGCACAGACAGGGGTTTATTTCTAAGCACCACTGTCTTTCTTGCCTTCTCTCCAAAAGGCAAAGGTCTAGGTAAGCAGGAATCAGAGGGAGTTGCTTATGTCAGTATCAGAGCCGGGCTAAGCACTCAGGAGCTCCCGGCTCCCAGCCTTGTTCTCAGAGCACCTCTCCCTCCGCCGACCCAGTGCTGTGTATGTGACACCAGTTCCTTGGGGGCTGTGCATGTGTCAGGGTCGTGCTCTCGTCTCTCACACCTCAGCATTCTTATTTCATCTTACTGATGCGTCCGTTTAACAGCTACCGCCAGGAGCAGCGAGAAGCAGGCCCTGATGTCTGAGCTGAAGATCATGAGCCACCTGGGGCCTCACCTAAACATTGTCAACTTACTTGGAGCCTGCACCAAAGGAGGTACCTGTCCCCTCCCCTGCCCCTCCCCTGGACATGATCCCCTTTCATCACAGCTGGGACCTGTCCCCTCCCCCTACTGCCCCAAACATTAGCATCCTGCTTAGAGGTCACCACCCTTAGCATGGTCACCAGGCTGAGCTTAGGCGGCCCATCTGTGCACATGGGCCTGCTGCCTGAATGGGAGAAAACTCTGCATGAGTTGCCAGACTCCACTCCTCCCTGCTGCGTGTCCATCCCCTTCCAGCAGCAGGCATAAGAAAATGGTCTCCATCCAATCTCCTTCCAGCAGCATGACCCGTGAGAGGGGCCGATGCTTTGTGGAGAGCCCAGGTAGCCGACGGTGCTCCAAACTCGAAGGCCAGTGGTCCTGCCTGTTCTCCACTCATCTGCGTGCCCCAAACACCCAGCAAAGCAAAGGGCCTCCCTCCCTGGGGCTCCCTGAGTCCCCTTACAAGCGGTTGGGAGAACGTGCAGTGACCTCTTTGCGAAGGGGTTGGCAGTAGAGCTGGTCAGGAATTTCACTGGAAAATGCCGATTTGTCAAACTGAACCTGTTCTCAGGAAGAAGTCGGTTCGGACAAATTTTTCAACTAAAAAAAAAAAATGCTGAAAAGAAAAGTGTAGAAATTGTCGACGTTTTCACAATGAAAGATGCCAATTTTCTGTCTCAAAGCGACTTGTTGTTTTGAAATTTAAGCTAAGCGTAGTCAAAAAAATTGTTTGTCAGTAAAAAATGGTCAAAACTGAAATGAAATGTTTCAGCTGACCCAGAACCAAACATTTTGAGGGGGTTTTCAGTTCATGACAGGTTTCAAGATTTCAACTTTACGTCCTAATTCGGGACAGGAACATTTTTCATTATCTTGACAATTTTCACAAGACAGGAAGCGCATTTCCCACCCAGCTATGGTTGGTAATAAAAGAACAGTCCTGGCCCTGAGCCAGCAAAGCTGCCCCAAGCCCACACCTGACTCAAGCGTTCTCCTTTCCTGCAGGCCCCATCTATATCATAACAGAGTATTGCCGCTATGGAGACCTGGTGGACTATCTGCTCCGGAACAAGCACACCTTCCTCCAGTACTACACCGAGAAAGCAAGGCGAGAGATGGAGGTGTATGGGAATGCCTCTGAAGAGGACAAGGTGTACAGGTGCCTTTAAAGTAATAGCCTTCTCAGGAGCAGCAGAAGGTCTATAAAAGTAGGGGGGCCAACGGCGCTCAAGACTATGGCCCCGCCCTCCATGTCTCCCCTTCCCCCAAGGCCCCGCCCCTTCTCCCTGAGCCCCCACCCTTCCACTTTGACTTCCCCCAAGGCGCTGCCTTTGCACCGCCCCTTCCCCCCAAGACCCACCCCCTGCTCACTTCTCTCTAGTCCCTCCTCCCATGTTGCTCAGCCTTACCGGTAAAATGTGGGAGGGCTATCCCCTCCCGCTTTTAAAAGTGGGGGGGCCGTGGCTCACCCTGTTCTGGCACCCCTGCCTTCTATTTCCTTTATGCATGCAGCCATCCCAGCCAGCCACAGCAGGGTCCTGTCCTTTCTGGGGCACTAAACCCTAAAGATTATGTTCTCTTGTTCACACTGGGGAAGACTAGTGACTTACGGGTAGGCTAACCTATGAACCAGATCTGCAGTACATTGATTTCAATGGAAGTTAGGAACCTAAATACCTTTGCGGATCCAGGTCCCGCCCTGGAATTTTCTGCTTCTAATTCTTCATTTGCAGAACAGGCCCTGTTGTGCTCAGTGCCGAAGTGGGCAGATTTAGCGCATCTTTGTGACAACTTTTCTTCCCCGGCTGAAAAAGAGGAAAATAGTTCTGTTACTGTCCGGCTGCCGTAAGAGGCGTGGGAACCTCTCTGCGGGTTGACTGAGATGCATCGCAGATGGACGTTACAAAGCAGGGTTTTGTCCCAGCGCACGGAAGCAATAGTGAAATGAGACAGGCGCTCAGGACATTGATGGAAGCTCTTGCAGTTTCCATTTCAAGTCAGAGGAGACAATAATAAATGTTGAACAAAAGAACGTTAATCTGGGCTCAGCCTTCAAATTAAGGCCTTGAAAATGCTAGCTGCAATTTTGTGCATGCAGCAGCTTTTCACAGGGGAGTTTTGGCAGGTGCAAAACCTTGGATTTCTGCATGCCAGTTGCATTTGTGCTGTCTAAATGGATTAGGGTTGCCAGACGTCCGGTTTTTGACTGGAACCCCCGGTCGAAAAGGGACCCTGGCAGCTCTGGTCGGCACCACTTACCAGGCCGTTAAAAGTCCAGTCGGCAGCGCAGTGGGGGCCCAGGGCTAAGGCAGGCTCCCTGCCTGCCCTAGCTCTGTGTGGCTCCCGGAAGCGGCCACCAGGTCCCTGCGGCCCCTAGGTACTGGGGTGGCCATGGCCTGGGAGGCTCCGTGCTCTGCCCCCGCCCAGAGTGCCTGCTCCACAGCTCCCATTGGCTGAGAACCGCAACCAATAGGAGCTGTGGGGACGGTGCCTGCAGAGCCTCCCTGGCCATTCATGTGTCTAGGGGCCACAGGGACCTGGGGGCCGCTTCCTGGGAGCCACGGTAAGTGCCACCGGGACCCCGCACCCCCTCCTGCACCCCAAACCCCTCATCCCTGACCCCATCCCAGCGCCCACCCCTCAAGGCGGAGCCCACATCCCCAGAACACCCCAGCCCCCTCCTGCACCCCAAACCCCTTATCCCTGGCCCCACCCCAGAGCCTGCACCCCCAGCTGGAGTCCTCACCCCCACACACACCCCCCAACACTCCAGCCTGGAACCCTCTCCCATACCCTGAACCTCTCATTTCTGGCCCCACCCAGAGCCCATACCCCCCACACCCCAAAACCCTCAGGCCTGGCCCCACCCCAGAGCCCGCACCCCCAGCCGGAGCCGTCACCCCCCTCCCGCACCCCAACCCCCTGCCCCAGCCCGGTGAAAGTGAGTGAGGGTAGGGGAGAGCGAATGATGGAGGGAGGGGGGATGGAGCAAGCAGGGGCGGGGCCTCGGAGAAGGGGTGGGGCCTCAGGAAAGGGACGGGGCTGGGGTGTTCAGTTTTGTGCGATTAGAAAGTTAGCAACCCTAAAATGGATAGTTACTATTTAGGCAGTTAGGCCCAAAAGGAGACCTCAGGTTTTGTGTACAGGGTTACCATAGTAGCACATGCAAATGGCTAATTAGATATGCACCATCACCTCATTTGCACACTGTGATGGGGTCTGTCAGGCCTTCTCTGCTGCCTGCTAGAGGCTTTGGGTCCTGACAGCCTGGCCCAGATCTTCAAAGTCTCTGGACTCTTTTGCTTAAGGAAAACCTGCTCAGGGCCAGACTACCAATGAGACTTAGTCCTCCAGGGGCCTAGAAGGGCCATAAGGAGACACTGACCAATAGGGAGCCAGCAGGCCAGTTAAGAAGGCTTGCCTGTGTCTGAACTGGGCTGTGCTGAGTGAGAGAGGAACAGAAGAGGAGGTTCTTAGTACTAGCCCAGAATATTAGGGGTGGGGGGAGGCAGGGCTGCTCAGGGGCTTGGCTTCTACTTAAACACTGTAACTAAGCAGTCATCTCTTGTGTTTACTAGTTTAAAGGCACAGAGCCAACCTTGAGTTTGGTTTAACATTAACCATTTAAAGACTGCGCTCACGGCAAGGGCTGTTCTGCTCCAGCCCAGCCGCCCGCCTACACACAGGCACGCAAGAGTAAGCCGGCAAATTTGCACATGCTTTTGCATACAGACCGCAGGCCTCCCTCTAAGGACCCCGTTCACCTGCACCAATGTGAGTTGACTCCTGTGCAAAAATGCAGGCACCAAATTGCAGGTGTGCTTAGAGAGGCTGGGCTCAGGCCTTGTAGGAGATGTGGCCCAGTGGTTAACTAAAGAATGAGGATTTTAAAAACTCAGTTTAGTGTGGCTCCGGCCACCTCTCCTGAGAGAAGAGGGCAGTTCAATCTGCAGAGTCATTCATTCCCCTCTCCAGTGCTTTCAAAGGTACCAACGCCCCTCCTACCCCCACCTGGGGTGGCCCCCCCTCCTGTGGAGGGAGAAGGAAATTCAGAGTCAGATTTTTGCCCTTAGGCATGTGCGGATATGTGCATACAGTTGTGCACACCTCAGATACGCAACAAATTTCCAAGGTGCACGTGGAAAGGGGGCATTTGCTCACATGTGGCCATGCACCTGCCAATACCTGCTTCGTGCATCGGAATCTGCACCCACCACCCAGGCCTGAGCAACGATACGTGTGCCATTGTCCATGCCTACGTTTGGAATTCTGGCCCTCCGTAACCGCAGTCCCTGAAATTAAGCCTCCCTTCTCTGAATCTGAAATCCACTCCACCCTTTCTCTTACACTATCTGTTCTGAATGGTTTCTTTGCTTCCCCATTCCAGCCTCACCTCCTTCTCTGTCGAAAGCGATGGGGGCTACATGGATATGAGCAAGGATGACTCCCTGGACTACGTTCCCATGTCTGATATGAAGGGAGAGATCAAGTATGCTGACATTGAGTCTTCCAACTACGGCACTCCGTACGAGTTGGACAGCTATTCCCCCTCAGGTAACGGGAGTCCCTGGAAGGGAGGGAGATGGTGTTCGTGCCACGGTGACTGGTTTCCTTTGCTTTAGGAGCTGGTTGGGGTGTGAGCTGATTCCCGCAGGGTCTGCTGAGCCAGAACAGTGCTGGCACAGTTTCTCCCACACTGAGGCTCTGTGGAGGTCTGAAAAACCCCAGACCAACTTCTGTTCCCACCGACGCGAGCCCCAGCGTTAATCCGTGTGGGAGCCTGGTAACAGCCGTTGTGCCTTTTTCCTCCCTCCAGCTCCCGAAAGGACGGACCGCGTGACCCTGATAAACGAGTCCCCATTCCTCAGCTACACAGACCTGATTGGGTTTAGTTTCCAGGTGGCCAACGGGATGGAGTTCCTCGCGTCCAAAAACGTATGTGTGCCGAGTCGCCAGGCGGGTTTGGCGGGAGTGGGCTCTGAAAGGGAAGAAATCAAAGCTCTTTCTTGGTGTGTGACATGAAAGTCCGCCTGACCAGCCAGACCTTCAGTCAGGCTTCACCAGGAGCCGACTCTGCCTCGCTGACAGACCTTTGAGCCACTGACCACCTCGACTTGCTGGCACTGTCCTGGGGCCTGTGTGGCCATACTACGTGTTAAAGTAGGTCTGGCTCCACTGCCTTCCAAACCCCCAGCCTGCAGCCCCTTAGAGCCGCTCTCTGGTTGGTCCTGGTGCTGTCTGGTTTCCTTTCCTCAGAGCCAGAAGCATCCTCACCAGAGGCCAGTGCTGTGCCAATGAAGAAACAGCCATCAGTAGCACACTCTCAGCCTAAAGGCTTCTGGAAACAGATGCTTCAGTGGGTATTCAAGCTGAACTGCCAATGAGGACAGAGCTCCCGGGGTCTCCAAGGCTAATTCGACTGGCTGAGCTTAGGCCAATTGTCAGTGTAACCAAAGCTCTATTGTTTGTTAGGAAAAGTATATAGCTGGGGTGTGACAGCAATGGGGACAGCCCTAGAGAGAAGCCCAGAGTGACCTTTCTGGTGCCCCACGAGACAGGCGGGTCTCCCAGTCTCCTTCACATGCCTGGCCAGGCAGCTTGCAGTAAATGAGATGCCAGCAGTATCAACTGTCCGTGCTGATACTGGAGGAGCCTTTCTTCTTTGCTGGTGCCAATGCAATGCTTGAGCAAACCCAGTGAGCATGCTATGTCCGGGGTACGTGAAGGCGTAAGCCAGGCTGGCCTAACCCTGCTGCTCCTAGACTCCGACTGTCCATCTGCACTCTGCATCATTGCTCGTTTCGCTGCTTTCTGGGGGGGGTTGCTCTGGTACCATGACAACCTCCGTGGCACCTTCTGTTGCTGGTGTTCTGTGGCCTGGGCCCCCCCTCTAATGGCACCCTGTCTCCTCCCCTACAGTGTGTGCACCGAGACCTGGCAGCAAGGAACGTCCTCATCTGCGAGGGGAAGCTGGTGAAGATCTGTGACTTTGGCCTGGCCAGAGATATCATGAGGGATTCCAACTACATCTCCAAAGGCAGCGTGAGTTGGGGACCCAGGTCCCCTCCCTTCCTGCCCCATTCCAGCAGGCACACACACACCTTGTTCTACCAGGCGGGAATCTCTCTTCCGAAGGACGGGGGCAGAACTCTCACCTGACTCCCTTGATCCTCCCCCCCTCCCCAAATAGTCCAAACAGTCTATTATCCTGACAATAAATCATAGACTCATAGAACTGGAAGGGACCTCGAGAGGTCATCTAGTCCAGTCCCCTGCACTCAAGGCAGGACTAAGTATTATCTAGACCATCTCTGACCAGGTGTTTGTCCAACCTGCTCTTAAAAATCCCCAATGATGGAGATTCTACAACCTCCCTAGGCAATTTATTCCAGGGCTTAACCACTCTTACAGGAAGTCTTTCCTCATGTCCAATCTAAACCGCCCTTGCTGCAATTTAAGCCCATTGCTTCTTGTCCTATCCTCAGAGGTTAAGAAGAACAGTTTTTCTCCCTGCTGCTTGTAACAACCTTTTATGTACTTGAAAACTGTTATCATGTCCCCTCTCAGTCTTCTCTTCTCCAACTAAACAAACCCAATTTTTTCAATCTTCCCTCATAGGTCATGTTTTCTAGACCTTTAATCATTTTTGTTGCTCTTCTCTGCACTTTCTCCAATTTGTCCACATCTTTCCTGAAATGTGGTGCCCAGAACTGGACACAATACTCCCGCTGAGGCCTAATCAGCGCAGAGTAGAGCGGAAGAATTACTTCTCATGTCTTGCTTACAACACTCCTGCTAATACATCCCAGAATGAGGTTTGCTTTTTTTCAACAGCGTTACACTGTTGACTCATATTTAGCTTGTGATCCGCTATGACCCCCAGATCCATTTCCGCAGTACTCCTACCTAGGCAGTCATTTCCCATTTTGTATGTGTGCAACTGATTGTTCCTTCCTAAGTGGAGTACTTGGCATTTGTCCTTATTGAATTTCATCCTATTTACTTCAGACCATTTCTCCAGTTTGTCCAGATCATTTTGAATTTTAATCCTATCCTCCAAAGCACTTGCAAGCCCGCCCAGCTTGATATCATCCACAAACTTTATAAGTGAACTCTCTATGCCGTTATCTAAATCACCGATTTAAGATATTGAACATAACCGGACCCAGAACTGATCCCTGCAGGACCCCACTCGTTATGCCCTTCCAGCATGACTGTGACCCACTGATAACTACTCTCTGGGAACGATTTTCCAACCAGTTATACACCCACTTTATAGTAGCTCCATCTGGGTTGCATTTCCCTAGTTTGTTTATGAGATGGTCATGCGAGACAGTATCAAAAGCCTTATAAAGTCAAAATATACCACATCTACCACTTTCCCCCATCCACAAGGCTTGTTACCCTGTCAAAGAAAGCTATCAGATTGGTTTGACACAATTTGTTCTTGACAAATCCATGCTGACTGTTATCACCTTATTATCTTCTAGGTGTTTGTAAATTGAATGCTTAATTATTTGCTCCATTACCTTTCCAGGTACAGAAGCTGACTGGTCTGTAATTCCCCGGGTTGTCCTTATTCCCCTTTTTATATATGGGCATTATATTTGCCCTTTTCCAGTCTTCTGGAATGTCTCCTGTCTTCCATGACTTTTGAAAGATAATTGCTAATGGCTCAGATATCTCCTCAGTCAGCTCCTTGAATATTCCCCTGCCTCTGAAATGGCAACAAGTGCTAAGGGTAATTAGTGCCGTTTGCATCCCAGTTCCCAGCGTGCTTTGCCTCGTGGCGTTACACAGTGGTTAGCCTAGATAGGTGGGGAACTTTCCCCACCAGCCACGGAGGAGGGGGAGCTGTGGGTGCACTGGTCCCCCAAGTCAGGGAGAGGAGGGGGAGATTTCTCTCTGCCTCCCTTTCCCCCTCTGACTTTAACCCCGGCTTTACCTCTAATGGAACCACATGAACTTGCTTTCTAGGGTCCTACGCAGGAACTTAGAAAACAGCACTAGTAACTGCCCATGAATACAGCCCCTTTTGTTCAAGGACCCCAGAGCACGGGATCACCCCTCACCCTATCCCTGTGCAGCTAGTAGCTCTGAACCATCCTTCAGATTGAGAGGCTGGGGCTCGGAGAGGCTGAGCTGCGTCACCATGAGTCACTTGCAGAGCTGGGAATGGGATCCGGATCTTCCGACTCCCAGCCCCTGCTCTAACCACTAGACCGCACAGAAAGAGGAAGCGCTTTTCTGCAGGCTCCCATGCGAGTGCTTTCAAGGAAGGAGATTCGGGCCTTTCAGGTCGGAAAGGGCCCCTGGTTCCAACGAGCATCCTCCAGGATGTTCTCTTTGTTTTAAATTCCAATAGGCAAGGCAGGGCTGGGGGAAGATGAATAATCCCTACCCCGTAACATCAGCAGTTCTCAAAGAGCTTTATGAAGGAGGTCAGTGTTATTACCTCACTTTACAGCTGGGGAAACTGAGGCACAGAGAAGAGAAGGGACTTGCTGCCCAGGGTCACTCAGCAGGTGAGTGGCAGAGCTGGGGCTAGAACCTAGGTCCTGAGTGCTAGTGCAAGGGTTGAGCCACCAGACCACACTGGAATCGTGTTCCACTCTCCTCCTCTTGCTGAATCACTGCCAGCCAGGCAAAGCTGGGAGTGGAGAGCTCGGCAGGGGTAGGTGAGCTGCTCTTGTTGCTTGGAAGCCAGAAGCAGCCAGTGTAACGCAGGAGCCTTGGCCACCCACTCAGTTCATGGGCAAGGGGCAAGGCCCCGCCCTTTCCCCCTCCGCAGCAGGGCTGGGGCTTTCCAATCCAGCTTTGCTGCTGCTGCTGTTCCGCATAAAATAGGAAATGAAACCAGGCCCCTTTGCAATCCTTCCTGGGGATTATTTTTGATACCAGTTGCGCAAGGAAATCCACATCCAGCACAGGGCGCCACGCAGCTGAAGCTGCACGCAAGGCGAGTTTCAGTGCAGCACAGGCAGGGCTGGATTGGGCCAAAGACAAGAAACATGGAGAGAAGAGGACTAGGATATCTATCTTGGTCCTCTCTTCCTGGCTTCTTAGAAATCTCCAGGCAGGTCCTGATCTGTCAGATCTATTCATAGTAGGGTGACCAGCCAGCAAGTGTGAAAAATCGGGACAGGAGATGGGAGGTAATAGGAGCCTATATAAGAAAAAGACCCAAAAATCGGGACTGTCCCTATAAAAGCGGGACATCTGGTCACCCTAATTCATAGTGATGCACATTTGCCAGGTTTCAGACATCCAGCTTAGACTGGGATGGGTGGAAAGTCACCATGTGACCGCATTTCAATGGCCTGGTGTCAGCTGAGTCAGTAGTCTCAGGCGAAGGCCGGGCGTCCATGTCACAAAAGCCTCCATTGCAGCAATCAGGCTTGTTGGCTGAGATGAGAATGGATGTAGAAACTGAGCTGATGCCTGACCTGAGAAGGCAGCTTCTCCTGGTCAGAGCTGAGGTGCACTGGAGAGCGGACATGAGGGAAGCTCGTGTTGCCGCTGCCCCAGGGGATGCCGGGGGGACGCTGGGGCCTTCTTTCCCCGGACTGTCATTTTGGCACCTTTCAGCAGCTGCAAGTCTGTCTCCGAAAGCCAATAGTCCATTTGGCCAGGCTGGTGTAGTGGCCCAGCAGGAGAACTCAGCCGTGGAAGGGAGGTGGCTTTGCAGGGCCAGAACCTCTCCGTGATGCTGTGAGTGGGGGAGAGACCTCAGCAGGGGGACAGCCAGTGTCAGTACTGAGTGGAACTGTGAAGGGGACTGCAGTTCTCCTGTCCCATCTGACAAGGGTCCGTGTAACACCCTGCTCTGGGAAATGGGAGTCAAGGCCCTAAGGGAAACGGTTGATGCAAAGTGCTTGAGAGTTGCTCCAAGGGGCTCTCCTCAGCCTTTGTAAACTGGGCTCCCTGAAGAGTCAAGGGGAAGGTGTCCAACTTCCCTGCTTATTGGTGCAGAAGTGAGCTGTCCCCAGGGGCTTGGCTGACTCGTGGGCCTAACCCATTCCTGCTCTCTCTCGTCCTCACAGACCTTCCTGCCTTTGAAATGGATGGCGCCTGAGAGCATCTTCAACAACCTCTACACAACCCTGAGTGATGTGTGGTCTTTTGGGATCCTTCTCTGGGAGATATTCACTCTGGGTAAGTGCCCTGAGAATCACGCTCCTTCAATAGAACACAACCCACCTCCCAGGACCACACAGGTCCTGCAGGGCTTGTCCCTGAATCTCCCTCCAGTCCCACCATGGGAGAAAGATACCAATCCCTGAGTCCCATCCCACCCATGCCAGGAGGGGGCCTCTGTGACAGAGCCTTGTCCTATCACACACTGACTCGCACAGGACTGGCGATGAAGGTGGGGTAGGAATGGTGAACAGATGGGAAGGAGGGTGGTGCTGGTGTTATAACAACACTGACAGTGTGAGTGTGGTGGAGCCTCCCCGTTAGCCTGGTTTCCAGCTCTTCTTTCTCCTCCTAGGTGGGACTCCATACCCTGAACTACCCATGAATGAGCAGTTCTACAATGCCATCAAATGTGGCTACCGAATGTCTAAACCCACCCATGCTTCCAACGAGATGTAAGTGTTCACTGTGCACATTTGCACTGGCCACATCTCCTCAAACTGGCTCCATCACCCCTTCCGCCATCTAACTCTCTATGGTGTCCTTCCCCCCCCCCCCCATCTCCCCAGCTATGACATCATGCAGAAATGTTGGGAAGAGAAGTTTGAGATAAGACCTTCCTTCTCTCAGCTGGTGGTACTTATGGGGAACCTCCTGGCAGATGGATACAAGAAGGTATGTCCCAGGAATGCTATGTTGGGAGTGTGGGGAGGAGACTCTACTATAGAGGAAGGAGGGTCCAGTGGTTAGGGTACTAGCCTAGGGCTTGGGAGACGGGTTCAAGTCCCTGCTCTGCCAGGCTTCTTGTGTAACCTTGGGCAATGAGTCTCTCTGTGCCTCAGTTCCCCATCTATAAAATGGGAAGAATAGCACCGCCCTATTTCACAGGGGTGTTGTGAGGATAAATACATTAAAGATTATGAGGAGTTCTGATGCTGTAGTAATGTGGGACATGTCAGCACCTTAGTTAGATACACCACAGGCATTTCTTCCTTTGTCTAAATTAAATATAACCTATCCTTGAAATATACAGAGTCTGTATGAGAAATGAGCCCCATTTTACAGCCAAACATCTTCTATACTTGGTGATGCATCTTTCAGCTGAGCTGGAGAACTGAGGCTCTGACAAATTCTGGTCTATAAGATCCCCAGGTATTTTGGGGAGGGAAAGGGGTGTTAATCCCATTCTCCAGCATAGGCGCCAACTCCGTGGGTGCTCTGGGGCTGGAGCACCCACGGGGAAAAATTAGTGGGTGCTCTGCACCCGCTGGCAGCCAAGCTCCCCTCCTCCCCTGAGCGTGCCATGTCCCCGCTCCTCCCCCTGCCTCCCAGCGCTTCCCGCCTGGCCGCCACCAAACAGCTGTTTGGCAGCGTTAGCACACGCCAAGCGAGGAGCGGGAACATGGCTTGCTCAGGGGAGGAGGCGGGGAAGAGGCAGGGCGGGGATTTGGGGAAGGAGTTGGAATAGGGGAAGGGAAGGGGGCAGCGTTGGGGCGGGGACTTTGGGGAAGGGGTTGGAATGGGGGTGGGGCCTCATGGAAGGGGTGGAGTGGGGGCGGGGCAGGGGGCGGGTGTCAAGCACCCAGGAGAAAGAGGGGAAGTCGGCGCCTATGTTCTCCAGGGCATACTCCAACTCAAGCAATTACATTCTGGCGATCTAAATCCCTCTTGCAGTTCAAACTGGACACAGCATTCTTCTTCACTTCCTGCCCTAAATGCTGTGTAGCGTTGCTGTGTGCACTTAAACATTTGCCATTTCTCGGAGGTGGCTGGACTTTGGTGGCAAAGTGCTCCCTGTGTATAGTTTGTCTGAGATTTTGTAAAGCACTTCGGGCTCTTTCGGGGTCAGTGGTGATAATGAAATGTTAACAGTTTAATTCATAAGGCTTGAAATATATTTGCTGGTCAATTCAGAGAAAAAAATGAAAAGCGACACTGTTTCCAGCAATTTGCTATAAAGATCAATTTGCTGTAGGAAAAAAATCAGCAGCCTTTTGTAAAGTGACATTTCCCAGCGTGGCTGGCTGGGCATATTGGTAATACCCTGGATACATAAAAAGAGAGGGACAAATGTCAGGTGTGAGCATTGTCTAGTTGTTGATGCCCAGGATTGGGGCTCAGGAGATCTGAGTTCTGTTCCTGGCTCTTCCCCAGTGTTCTCGGGTCACTCCATTCCACGTGCTTCCCCAATTGTCCAGCCATCCGCGGGCGTGCCTTGGATTTTGGACACAGAAGGCCTGATTCTCCTCTCACTCACACAGACATAGAGCACCATGGAGAATAGCGGTATCACCCCGATATCTCAAGTGGCTCACCCAAAAATGGAGCAGCTCAGGGGATGCTTTGAAATCGGCCTCCTCTCTCCCAGGGCTGCCCTGAGGGCTTCGTTAGCTCATGTCTGGGAAGCACCGTGCGATACTGCAATGGAGGGCACTGTAGCAGTGCACAGTGTGCGGCTTCCAGTGGGAACAGGGCCCAGACTCTGTAGTTTCTCTTTATATGCCTGAGGATGCCGGCTTGACCCCGGTTAGCGCAACCGCCTCTCACCCACCTCGTTTCTTTTGTAACCTGCCCCGCGGGAGCAGAGGTACCAACAGGTCGAGGAAGAGTTCCTGAAGAGTGACCACCCTGCTGTTCTGCGCACAAGGCCCAGAATCCCCGGGGTCAGCAGCGCCGGGCTCACCCCCAGCTCCGGCACCGGAAGTGTCCTCTATACAGCCGTGCAGCAGGACGAGGGGGACAATGAGTACATCATCCCCCTTCCTGACCCCAAGCCCGACGGAATCGACGACGCCCCTCAGGAGGCTTCGGTCAGCCGGGCCAGGTAGCAAACACAGGCCTCTTCATGCTTCCCCCGAATCCGATCTCTGACCGTCCTGAGATCTAAACAACAAATGCTTCACACAACAAAAGTGGAAGCAGGAGAGTGTGGTCAGGTAGAAAGGGGTGGGGGCAGGGGGAGGCGGAACAGGTAAAGCAGCTCCAGGATCAGCTCCCTTCACTCTCAGGATCCTTACATCTACCCACAGTCTGGCCTTTCCCTTCATAGCTGCCCAGTCTATCTGCACTGCCAGCTGCCATTCAAGGTCCTCACGCCAGGCTGGGCTGGGGGCCCGGGGAGAGGCTGGACAGCAAGTTGTTATGTATACGCAGCAGCTAGCGCTCCAGGTGTGCACAGCCCGTGGGGCGTTGATGGCTGCACTGTGTGTGCGTGAGGGGGGTGAATTTAAGTTCCATTTTGTCAATCGTTCTGTGGGAGTTGGAGCCTGTCTAAGATGGAGGATGGCACTGGGCCACTGTGGGGGCGTAGGTAGTCACTCCTCGTGCCACAAGAGAGCCAGCCATGTCTTCCCTAGCAAGTGGGTCCTTGCTTGGGACATCAGCGATTACAGACAGCACATTTATTTCTCTCCTTTCTCTCCTCCCCTTTAGTTCTACTCTGAACGAAGTGAACACAGCATCCACAATATCCTGTGACAGCCCCCTGGACCCACAGCAGGAAGGGGAACAGGAGGAACCTGAACCAAAGTCGGGCTGCCAGGAGCCAAGCCCAGGGCACCACGACATGGAAGAGAGTTTTCTGTAGAAAGGGCAGGGCTGATGCTACCCCACACCCTACCAGTGAGACCAGCTAGGGGGCAACCAAACTTGGTGGAGAACCTGGATGGGTGCTTCTTTATCCCGCCCTCCGTCCCACCTCCCAGCACAACGTGGACTATAGAGGCACCTTTCCCCTCCCCCAGCCTCACTGCCACACTCCACCCCATTGATCAAACTACTGAGACGAGGCGGGGTCTCCTCACAGACAAACCTCTTCTCCTCACAGTGAAGCCTCAGTGCTTCCAGACCAAGGGGCAGGGCACCAGCGGGTCTCCAGAGGAGATGCTGCCGTTCACTCCATTTGTTTGATATCCCAGCCTCTTTCCCGCACCCTGGTGCAACAGGTGGCTCTGAATTCCAGTCTCCATCTGGGCCGAAGCTGCCTCTTTGATGTTCTGCGTATCCGCCACGCTGTGGTACAACGGCCGTACGTGGCTGGGCTGGACAGACAGATTCCTTGCAGCTCCCTGGTGGGGCGTCGGGAAGCCGATAGGCCAGGCCCCAGTCACTAGAGAACAGGATCATACTGATTGGATTCTCTCTCAAGCACAGCAGAGCTATTATAGCCGCTGAGGAGAAACGAGCCATGGAGAATCCAGTCACCAGGAGAAACCAGTCACGTTCTTCCCTTCTTGTCCTCTCCAGCCTTTCTGAGAGGAATGCGGCACCACAAGCACTGTGGTACAGGTACCTGTGGCACTGGGCCACAATGCTGCATTAGCACCCTTTTCCTCCACCCCCAAGGAGATGTCATAGGCTGACCCTCTTTCTGCCCACAACAGCACCCTGGGTTCCTAAGGGCCTGCCAGGAATCAGGGATGCTCTGATAATGACTCTGCTGTGGCAGCAGCAGCGCATTCCAGCGTTATCTTCCTCTGTGTGGACTCTAAGCCTAGATAGTCTCCATATCGCTCATTTAAAGGGAACAAATAAGATCTCTTAATTCACTAGCCAGGGCCAGTATAGGAACAAAAATGGCTATTCATTAATCTTCTAGTGCCACGGAACCTATTTCACCTGCTGGGAAAGTCTCTCAGCCCAGCTGGCTCCAGAATCTTTGTTTTATCTTTGGGAAGCAGAGGTATGACGTTGATGTTACTTTATTCATACGAGTTCCCCTTTCTGTGCCGTCTGGGTCCCTCACGTGAATTGCAGCCTCTTGCCCTAGGTGAGTAACCAGGCTGCATAAACACAAGCCCAGGCGATCCAGGGACAGCGAGAGAGAGAGAGAGAGAGGTTGTGAAGTCATCTGAGAGCTGTATAGGGTTTATGGTCCTGCCACTCAAAGTCTCTTTGACTGTACAAATACATGGGGGGAAGCCAACTTTTAAACAACGAGCAGCATTTGTGTTTGCCAGGAGCAGCCGTTCTCATGCTGATAGGATCCATGGAGCCTTGCAGGATGGTACATTTTGGGACCCAAGAAGAGGAGGAAGGATCAGGTTGTCGGATGGGAAGTGGGCCTAAGACAGGGACTTTCTCTTAGAAAGTGGAATGCAGAATGGAAATGTTGGAGAACCCCTCGTCTTGCTTCAAACCCCTCTACCCCATTGGCAGGGCTGTGACCTGTAGCACTCTGAGCTTCCACTCGTTAGTCGAAGAGTTAAACCAGGTGGAAAACAAGGAAACCATGAAAATCCCCCAAAACAGGAAGGTTATGACAATGTCTTCAGCTTGGAAACCAGCATTTTCTCCCATTTGAATAGCATCAAATTGCTTAGCACCCTTTTCCTCCACACCCACAGCTCCTTCTAGCTCATCCACTTCCCTGTCCCTCTCACACACATGGTGGCTGTGCTCTTATTAACAGAGATGGTTGGAAACGTTCACATTTTCAATGACGTTCTTTGTGGAGGTTTGTCGGACAGTTTATAGAGCCGTCTAAAACTGTCCACCGAAAAACATTGACAATTTTGGTGTGTTTTCCAGTCAGCTCTAGTTAATGGTGACATATTTGTAAAGTTAAATCAAGAGGAACAGGTACCTGTGGCAGGGAGGGGTTATGTTTTTAATAAAATGTGAAAGCTAAATGTAGCACTGTTAGTGGTAGCCAGCCAAGTGCTATTGCAATACTGCAAACCATGGCCAGAGGTGTTTCTCTATTTCCTGCAAGTATGGTCAGATTTCTCATATCCCATCATCCTCAGGAATCATTCTGTGAATGGCAACTCTTTTCCTACACACGCATCCTCTTGATCGTAGTGCAAGATCCACGTTCAGTGGACATGACTCAAGAAATGCCCCAAACCACAGGGAAGCAACATAGATTGTTGGGGTTAGCCCACGTTTCCTCGGTTTCTTAGGTGCTCTGTATGGCACAAGCCACCACAGCTTCAGCCAGGTGAAGGGATACTGCTCTTATCAAATCCCCTGGAAGGGATACTGCTCTTATCAAAAAATTTGTGTTGTGTTTTTGTCCCAGCTTTCTAAGACCTCTCAATCTGGGTGGATTTAATAGATCCTCTCTATGGTCAGAGCCTTTATCTGCCAGGGCAGATTTCTCTTTTTATGATGCCCCGTGCTACTACTTGAAATAGAACCTGTGATTTAAAGAACCCATTAGCTCCTGCCCGCACAGCAGCCCTAAGCAAAATTTAGCTGTACAAATCTGACCTTGTGAATCTGGGGCTAGCGGGAAGTCTGGCAAAGGTGTGCTGGTGCTGAACACTGTCTGGCTACTTCCAGCCCCATCTGGGCTTGACATGAAGAGTTTGATTTGCCTTCTGCTCCGCTGGGCTGGAAAGCTTTCTGGTTTCACATCCTGCTGCGAGTGTGCAGTGACTCGCTGCCTTGTGTCAGAGTGAGACCCCCCTCTGATAAGGGCAGACAGTGCTGACCAGGTGAGCCTCCCCCAAGGTAAGAGTCTAGCTGGGTAGCCTCAGGAACACCAAGAAGGGAAAACCCTTTTCAAAGAAAGGAGTCTGCTTGTTTTAATTCCCAACCAGCCAATGGGTACAATGGTGGCGGCTCCATGGGCAAAGTGCACCTATCCCTTACAGTTGCCAGAAGAAATTCCGTGGCCAAAATCTGCCAGGCATTAAGGTTCACACCCTCTCTCTCTCGCTCTCTCTCTCTCTCTGCTTCTGAAATTCCCACCTGGATCCGTCAGACATCTGGGAGCGACAAATGTTTTAACCCATCTGTTGCCATCAATTTTGTAGCCATAATTTGTCCTGAAGGGAACCGATTCCTCTAGGGTTTTTATTTTATATTGTTACTATTTTTGTTTGTTTTTAATGTTGGGGGATGGGTCCAAACTGAACCCCTTTTCCAAGGACCCCAAATGATGGAGTCTCCAAACCCCCCAAAGGGAACCCAGTGCTGCAGTTTGGGCCCATCGCCGGTATATTTTTTTAACTCCTATTTTAATCTGCAGTCATTACAAAGTTATCCGCTCCAATCTATGCACTTTCCTCCTGCCAGTCACGATTTCTGTGCATCCAGGAGTCTATTGCTACACTACAGTGTCTCTCTCCATATTTAAGATGCTGCTCAGACTGACATGTTTGACTTTTTAACGTTTGTCATTTTCAGTTGGGTGGGTTTTATGTAAGGAGAGTCGTGTTTAGTGTTTCGCGTCACATTATAAAGTCTAGAGCACAGTGGACTTTATTTGGAACTGAGTTGTCTCTATTCACCCCTGCGGGGACCAGCAGGTCCTTGGTGGAGTCGGAGCAGTGAGATGGGAGCTAGACATGGAGTGGCAAGGAGCAATCAGTAGAAAGTTGGCCAAAACTGGTGTTAAAGACCCACCTAATTTAGGATCACCAACTCTCTGGGAGGTACAGCACCAACGGGCAGGAAGTATCTTGATAAGTGTTGGATGGAGATCCTGGGGAACGCCGTGTTATGTCAGTCCACAATACTGGACTAAGCAGGGGAGGGATATCTCATAGCCGTCTCCTTTTGGGAGAGATTTGCCACAGCCCAAGCACCGGGGAGGGAGGGGATCCCTTCCTTGTTCCACTGCACAGAGGTTAGAGAAAGAACTAGACTAACATGTCATTAGTCCATCGCCTCCTCCCAGCCATGCAGGGTTGTTCCCTACAGGATTCCTGCTCCAGCTGAGTTTTAACTGAGTTTGACCCTAGCCCTGGCCTCATAGCAAGACAGGTGGCAGTCCCAGAACAGGTGGGGAGCGAAGAGTGACTGGCCACCTGCTCCCGCTCTTCCCCCATAAAGGGAGGGGGAATTTAAAGAGACAGAGCCTTCATTTTCACCCTTCCGTCTTCCCCCACATCAATTGATGCCAATCCCAGCTTTGCCAGTTTTTGCAAAATTTGTTAAAATATTGGCACAGGCTCACACCACCGCCACACACACATGCAGGGTACCAGGGAAATGCTCTCCTTTCCCCACTTTAGGTTTAAGACAATGCTAGGAGAGTGGCTGGCTCCTGACCCTGCCCTACAGCGCTGGCGACCCTAAATACGACCCAGTGGTTTATCTGCAGTGTTTCTCTTCAGGCAGCAGAAGGGCAACTGATCTGCAGCTTTCACATCACATTGCTGCAGGTGGCAACTCTACTCCATGGCCCATGGGACCAAGCTGCTGCAGCCCCTGGATTTCCAGGCCTGTACGGACACTTGCTTAGGTCAAGCCTATCAGAAACCTGAGCTGCATCAGACAGGTCACTGACACAAGCTACACAGCATGTCCCAGTGACGGCAGCAGCTGGGAATGTAGCACATTGGGAGGGGGGAGAACCATTCATGAAATTCTGCCCAGTGAGATCAAACTGCAGTGGAATGAGCCACCTATCCCCGTGGCATGTCTCCTGGGCTCCTCCTCCCCTCACTTTCAAGCCTCGTTATAGGCTCAGCAGCTTCCTGCCTACTTGCAGTCATTTCAGACCTAGCGCATCTCTAGTTCCTCTAACCTTTGTTTCAACCTTCTGCGTTGCTGAAGGTAGTCAATGGGTAGGAGCCAAAGTGTAAAGCGCCAGGGCAGAACTGGCGCGGCACATCTGACCGGCTGTCTCTTCGGCCATGCCCTGGGCTTCAAGTGGCAGTGCCGGAATGGAGGGGAACACCCTGCAGGGAAGGGACAGTGGATTAGGAAGTAGGTCATCTTGAGCCGTGATGGCCTGATGCAGAGTTAAATGAAAGAGCCACTCAGCAATGCCATTTTTAAAGGTGAAGTTACATTGATGCTGGTACTCTGTGCTCATGCAATCTTGCAGTCATGGTCACCTCCACGCCTTATAGACGGGGAACGTTGGGGAGGGGCCTGCCCGCCAAGCACACTAGCAGCCTCAACCCATTTGTTTCGATCTATGGTACTTACCTGGCCCCCATTATGGGGGTATCTCTGCGCCTCACAGTCTTTAGTGTATTTGTCCTCACAGCACCCCTGTGGGCCAGGGCAGTGCTCGTATAGCCACTGTACAGAAGGGAACTGATGCCCAGAGAGGCTAAGTGACTTGTCTAAGGTCACACAAGGAGTCTGTGATGGAGCAGGGAAATGCACCCAGGACTCCCAAGTCAGCACCCTCCCCACTGGACCAGTTCAATGGAATTCCCAGTTTCCCTTGGAAGAGCAAACCCTGCACTCAGACACGCCAGTGTAAATCTGGAGTGCCCGAGCGTAGGCATGGAGTTGTTCTAGGTTTGCTCCTGGGTTACTGTGAGAAGAGCTTGGCCAGACGTGTGATTCGTTCCCTCTAGACTTGGGGGATGAATGAAATTGAGGAGCCAAGCAGTGGAAGGGCCCATGACACAGGGGACTGGTCTGTCTCGCGCGCCCCCCCCCCCCCCCGTTTGCTGTTTCCCCCTTTACAGACTGCACTACCAATTCCAACGCATTAGTGAGTTTGCCCATTGATTTCTCTCTCTCTCAGCCCCTCCCTCGCCCCCGCACGGTACAATGTGGATAATCTGTTGGGATTGCACCTTTTTATAGCACGTTATTAGGCCCGTGTGGAATCTCTGAACAGAAACAGCGCCTGTATTTGCATTTTTCCTATTAACCTCTCCTAAGCCATCATGGGGGCAAGGCACGGAACTGCGTTCAAACTAAGGTACCAAAGTGTTAACGTTATCCTAGGTTTACAAATGTATTTGTAGAGCTCTTATTAAGCCACATTTATACCGGTGAGATATTATTTTTTATGCTGTAAACTTTATATACATGTTTTTAAGGAAAGATTTTAAAATTAAAGGTGTTTCTTCTTTTTCAACCCTTTTCTTGCTGGTTCCTGATTCGTTTGCCTTTTGGGGAGGTTTTGGCTGTTTTTCTTTCCATAATCTCCTGTCTGGTTGCGTTTGTGTTTTGGTGGGAATGAAGATTAACTGTGGGGAGGCTAAGGGAGAGGAATGTTAATATGCTCTGTAGCGCTACCCAGGCTTAGGCGAAGCTAAGCCACGGTAGCGGGCCGAGATGGCCTATATAGCCAGCTATTGTGGAGGTGGATCGCCCTGCTCAAGCCCTTCGATTATTGAGCACACGGGGGTCAGTGCCCTGAGTGGAGGCAGGTGAGTGGATGGACGCCATTCGGTAGCGTTTCGGGGAGAGGTGCAAATAGCTGGGCTCTAACAATTCCCAGGGAGGGCCCATGATCCCCTCTTGCAGGCTCCACCCCCTCCTTCTCCCCTCCTGCAAAAGGCCTGTATCACAGATTGCTTCCCACTGGTGGAGGCAGCCTGGATGCCACTTCCCCAGCACAGTACAGCGATGCCGGAGAGGTGGGGTGGGCCTCTCTCCCCACCCCATCCACGGCTGGGCACGTTGTCTCTACAGCACGCCCAATCCTGGTTGGCCTGTGAGCAAGGCACCCAGCACGGGCCTAGGGATGAGCCAACAGCTGGTGTATGAATGCACCCAAACCTGCTGCGGAGCCAAACCCAAACTCTGGGCGTTCGGGCCCAGCCATCATCAAACTGGGCCTGGAGCCGTGCTGGTCTCTCAGGTCCTGTAGGACAGTCACAGCTTATCTCTCCGAGTCACAATAGGAACACAGGAATTGGCAAGGTCCATCTAGCCCAGGTGCTTCGGGGGTAAGAACCCAACAGTAGCAGATGTGGGGTGCCCAGGTGCTTCGGGGGTAAGAACCCAACAGTAGCAGATGTGGGGTAACCTGTCCTTGCCCTTAATGGCTCATCCTAATCCCAAGCTTGGCTTAAACCCTGACGCATGAGGTGTAAAGCTGAGAGGCCAGGCACAGCGCACGCTCTGGGAGTGCAGGATTGAGAGTGGGGAGGGCGATAGCTGGGGCAGCGTGCCTAGCCTGGGTGCCTGAGTGAGAAGTCACACGTGGCTTGGTTGGGTAGATATCTCTCCCACCCTCCTGGTTCTCCTCCCACCGGGGTTCACCCACCCTCCTCTCCTTCCCCACCGTAATGTGCAGAAATTAGGTAGTGTCCCTTTAAGTAGTTTGGGAGCCCTCCAGAAGACGCAGGTGGAGAAGGTCTCCCAAACTATTTAAAGGGACATTACTCATTTCCTATATACTAAACCCCCTCACCCCAGGCTCCCTGCCTCCTTCCTTCCTACCCCGGCTTTCCCGCTCTGGCTCTGGAGGCCTTCTACAGTCCCCTAGAACCACAGAGAACAGCAGAACCCAGGCAGGCTACTTCCCAGGATAATGAACCTTGCTTGTTTAGCCTGGGCCTCAGGCATAGACTACAGCAGAAGACAGTGAAGTCGCCTGCCCTTGGCTGCTGGGATGGCCGGTCCTGTGCTCCTGTCTCTGACGTGCAGTGTCAGTGCAGTGTTGGTTGCTGAACATGAAGCTGATGGGTTTCTGAGAAGCTCGGGATGGTTCTCCCAAGGAAAAGACAGACGGGTTTGTTCTGATTCATGTGGCAAGGCTGAGCTGTCACAGACAGGCTGGCACCTTTTGTCCCTAAACTGAGTCAGCAGGAGCTGACTCAGCAAGGGGGGAAAAAATCCCCTTCTCAATGAAGACTGCAGCAAGGTCCTGAATGCCCTGGGGAGAGGACAGCTGGAAAACAGGGTGGGGGAATGTAGCTAGCTGTTACTGTGGGAGCCAGTTCCCATTCCCCTCCCGTTCCATTCACTCCCTGTCCCCTCTTTGGATTTCAGACCTTTTGCATGAACACAAGCACTAAAGAGAAGCTGCTCGTGTTATAGTGAACACCCTAATGCCCAGGGAAGAAGCGCCAGTCATCAGGGGAGCCAGGTTAGGTGCTTGTTAGCATAATGCTTCACCTGACCATGAAGTGAAAAGGAATTCCCTTCTTCTGTTTCCCCCTCCATGCTGTGGCAGCAGCAATGAAGCATGGTGGGGTAGTACTGGAATTTGGCTCATGCCCCAGTCCAAATGTGAACCATGGAGTGTTGTCTTCCTTAGTCTGCAGAGGAACTGAAATAATCACTCTAATGGGATGTTGGCTCTGAAGCCTAATGATATGATTCTCAGTATTGTTCATTACTCATTTCTGATTATTTCAGCAGAAGCTTATTCTGGTATCATGGGCATAGTAAGGAACTCCTTCCCTCCCCCCTGCCCCTTCTCCCATCATTCCTTGTCTACATTCTGTGCAAAATGCCTGTTACTATTTACTCAGGATAAGGCAGATGCAAACTGTTTGCAAGTTCCTACGGGTTATTTGGTCATTAATTAGACACCTGAGGTTACTAGTTTGCAAATTAATTGTCCCGCAGACCAGCAGTTTTTAATAGGTCTGCACTGTAAGCGTGAGACTTCTTGTCAGTGATATAAAAATGGTGCTAATGTAGTCCAGCTGTGTGATAACACTGTCATGCTCTTCACGTAGGATGTGCTTGGGCCTGGTGCCATCCCATCAGCCAGCAGATCGAGGGACGTGATCATTCCTCTCTATTCGGCATTGGTGAGGCCTCATCTGGAGTACTGTGTCCAGTTTTGGGCCCCACACTACATGAAGGATGTGGAAAAATTGGAAAGAGTCCAGCGGAGGGCAACAAAAATGATTAGGGGGCTGGAGCACATGACTTATGAGGAGAGGCTGAGGGAACTGGGATTATTTAGTCTGCAGAAGAGAAGAATGAGGGGGGATTTGATAGCTGCTTTCAACTACCTGAAAGGGGGTTCCAAAGAGGATGGATCTAGACTGTTCTCAGTGGTACCAGATGACAGAACAAGGAGTAATGGTCTCAAGTTGCAGTGGGGGAGGTTTAGGTTGGATATTAGGAAAAACTTTTTCACTAGGAGAGTGGTGAAGCACTGGAATGTGTTACCTAGGGAGGTGGTGGAATCTCCATCCTTAGAGGTTTTTAAGGTCAGGCTTGACAAAGCCCTGGCTGGGATGATTTAGTTGGGGATTGGTCCTACTTTGAGCAGGGGGTTGGACTAGATGACCTCCTGAGGTCCCTTCCAACCCTGATATTCTATGATTCTATGGTTCATGGCCATAGCCAAAGCAGGAAGGGAAACAGTGACCCCCTGACAGAAGGATTGCCCATGGGCTAGCAGAGGCATTGTGGGAGTGTTATTGTGATTATCTAGAGATACCTTCTGCAGGGGTACCAGAGGACTCTGAAGGGAGCTTCCTGTACAGCCCACCCTGTGCTGGAGGAAAGGTCTCCATCAGGTGGCCCC